GCCCCAAAACCCTATTATCATTATTAAGGCCCCGATATCATCGGTTATTGCTGAGACGGTGGGTCTGGCGTTTTAGGTTCTAGGGAATGCATGTAAGGGGCCAAAAGAGTTTGAGTGCTTATAGGGTTTAGCGGGGTTCAGGGTTTAGGGTTCCGAGGGGTTTAGGGTTTAGGGCTTGGGGCTCATGACATTGAGAACCGTGGCGTGCACATGGGGCCGAAGACGGGTCAAGATTTCGGGTTTTGGGCTTAGGGTTTGCGTGAAGGGTGAAGGAGAAGCCCTAAACCCTAAACCCTAAACCCTAAACCGTACCTAAGCCCTAAACCCGAAACCGCAGAGTGGGGAAGCAGGTCTGTGGGTAGAGAGTCTGGGCAGCCTATACCCCAGCCGCCGTCATTCCTAAACCATATGGGGGTTTCCAAAAATAGGGGACCCTAATATAGTACCCTCAACAATAGGATCCTTATTATAAGGACCCCCAAAATAAGGTGCCCCTAATTTTCGGAAACTCCCATATAAGCCCTAATTCCTAAACTCCCTAAACCCCAAGATCAGGCCGGAGGAGCTGGGAGGAAAGACTGCGAAATACACGCCTGGGGGCTCGGTTTGGGGTCTTCTAGGGTTACTAGGTTCAGGGCTAGGGGTTTTGGGTTTGGGGTTTTCAGGGATTACTAGCTTTAGGGTTTGGGGTACGGGGTCTTCTAGGATTACTAGGGCCAGGGTTTAGGGGAGCATGGTTTAGGAGTTCAGGTCGAAGGTCGGGGTGTAGGTTGCAGGGCTTTAGGGTTCAGGGTTTAGGGTTTAGGGTTTAGGGTTTAGGGTTTAGGGTTTAGGGTTTAGGTTTAGGGTTCAGGGTTTAGGGTTGTGGGGTTTAAGGCCTAGGTTTAGGATTCAGGGCTCTCCAGCTTTTGGGTTTTGGGCTTGCTGGGCATGGGTTCTAGGATCTACTCTCTTAGTAAACTTGAAAGCTTCAGGTACAGAGCGAAGTTTCTGGATTCTTTTCGATACCCACAACGTCTCCACTTTTGTTTGAGTGATTTGGCCATCACGGCCTTTCTCAACTGGATGCTTCGGCTGGGAAGCTTGAGAGAATACGAGAACGTGAGGCTTTCTAGCCTGGGTTCAGGGGCCGAACCTGCTAGACTGCCGAGAATCATCCCGAAAGCTTAAAATTTTCCCTAAAAAACCCAAATCCTGGACCCTAAACCCCAAACCCTGAACCCCAACTTGAGGTGGGTCCAGACGAACTGGGAGATTCGCTGCCGCGTGCCGGTGGATCCTGCCTTGCCCTCAGCACTCCTGAACTCGAGAACCTCGATCCCGAGCCCAGCGCCGACAACCAGAATCCCGCCAACCCCCTCTTGAAGGTCCACGGGACATATATTACATTACATTGTATGTCATATATAAATATAAAGTGCACTCCTTTATGTTACATTATATGATATGATATGGTATTAAATCCTGGTATTATTATATGATTTGATACTGTAGCATGTTATCTTATAATATTGTACTTTATTATGGTATTTCAGAGCAAGTTCTGCTATATTGTATTACCCCATGTTGTTTTACATCATAGCATCAATATTTTGTTTTATTGCATTATACAACATTTTTATATTCCCATTATATTGTTATGTCACATTATGTTACCTAAGCACTATGTGCTGTTGTATTGTATTATTTCGTACTTTTTTGTAGTGTATTTACTTTATGCTTTTTTGTTGTATATACTTAGTTTTAGTATATCAGATTGTGCTCTATTTTTATCAGATTACAATACACTGTTTTATAGTATATTATTGAATTAGACTGTTGTATTATGCTATATTCCATTACTTGAAAGTAAAATATGTTAGACTTTTATTTTGATATACTATGTTATATTTCGTTACATTATATTATATTACATCAAGGTACATTATATTAGCCTATGTTACATTATAGGTTACTTCATGAGAGCAAATTATGTTGTATAGGCTATACTACACTATATTATATTCGATTATTCTATACTAAACTATACTATACTGTACTGCTTTGTATTACACTATGTTACATGTCAATTTTCATGTAATATAGTATTGTAATAGAGTGCTTTTTGTTGTAGTATATCATGATTTATTATACTATATTGTAACATCTTGTAGTGTATAATAAGATGTCAAATTTTGCTCTAGTGTACATCAAACTATATTCTGTCATAGTGTGTAACATTTTACAGTGTCACGCATGTTTACCTTCCTGCTGCATGATGTTGTATCGTATTTATGGGTGGGTGTTCTAGTATACTATACTGCTTAATATGCTATATAGAAGTATTGCAGCTGATTGTATATTAGTGTTAATTATGAGTATTATTAGTGGTAGTACTCGCAGTAGAAGTAGTAGTCGTCGTTGCCGTCGTAGTATTATTTTTATATTCATTATTACTGTTGTTATAACCATTAGAATATACTGTATCAGTAGAAGTGGAGTTGTACGTAGCTTAGCTGGGGTCCTGTACAATCTCCTTGAAGTGTCTACGTGTCCTTCAAGAAGTGTCGGGGTCATTTGTACATGAGTTTTTCCAGTCTTCCTGAAGATGTGCAGCACACCATTTTCCGAACAGGATTAAGTAGCACTGGAATACGAAACCGCCAACCCTGGACCCACATACCTGAACCCGAAACTCCCCCATAAACCCTGCTAACCTCCTCACTGGCTTGCCTGAAAAGATCTTTGAACTCTACGACCTCCTCAAAGAAAACCCAAATGCACTACAATAATACTAGTAACAATAACAACAATAATCATAAAGCATATATATATATACATACATACATATAAAGTGTGTGTATGTATGTGTATATATATATATATATCCAGAATATATATATATATAGATATGTATATATATATATATATATCCATAGTAAAAGAGGCTTCCTGCTGTCAGCCTGCGGGGGAGGGGGATTTCTTAATTCCGGGGTCTGGGTTCAGGGCCTGAGATCCTTATGACGCTGGTTTAGTATAACATAGGGGCCTTCATAATTAGAATAGTGTTTGGGGGCCCATTTTACTATATCTATAAAAAGGAACCCCCAAAACCCTATTCTAATTATTAAGGCCCCTACATTACCACTGAAGCGTATTCTATCGATTAAAGCTCCGATGCTTCACCCATGAAGGAGTCCTCACAGGAGCCCTGAAAGAAACCCTTAAAGGAACCCCTAAAGTACCGGAACCCTGAAAGCAACTCTATTGTAGAACCCTTGAAGTAATCGTATGATGGAAGCCTTAAAGGAAACCATACCCTTAGCATCAACATCGCCTAAAAGCCTTAGATAATAGGGTCTTTGGGCCCAAAAGCCTTCAAATATGAGTCCTTTGAGGGTAGGGTTAAAGTGACCCCATTCTAACCCTACCTAAACCCTAAAACCCCTAACCCCAAACCCCTAAACCCAAAACTCAAAACCCTAAAACCCCAAAACTCTAGAACTTAAACCCTGAAACCCCTAACCCCAAACCCCTAAACCCAAAACCCTATAACCGCAAAACCCCAAAACTCCAGAACTTAAACCAGTGAATGCCTCGCTTGGCAACCTTCGACCCTCGGAATACGAGGGCCAAGGATCAGACAAGCGCTTCGGCACATTCGAGTAATCTAGGGGCCTTCATATTAGGTAATTATATGGGTAGTTGTCAAAATGAGGGTCCCTTTTCGGGTACCCTAAATAATAGGTGCCGTATCATAATAAGGACCCAAAAAAGGACCATAATTTTGACAACCACCCATATAATTATTACCTATACCATTGTAAGGGTTCCGTATTATACATATAGTATACTGGGCCCCAAACCCCGCTAATTATTGAAGCCCCCATACTGACAAGTATGTTTAGATTGATGGAAGCAACGACTTTGTAGCGGTAGTTCTTCAGGCCCCTATATTCAAACCCAGTAAAAGCCTACAGGAACCCTTTGTACAAGACTATACCATACTGTAACATCCTGCCTCTGTACTATCTGCAGCCACTAAACCCTAAACTCTAAAACCCTCAACCCCTAAAGCCCTAAAACCCAAAAATCCTACACCCTCAAATCCTAAACCCCTAGAACCCTAAAACCCTTAAACCCTAAAACCCAAACCCTAAACGGGTTTTACAGCAAGGGCTCTTGACATCCACAAACCAGCTCCTGAAGGCGTCACGCTGCTCCTCGTTCTCCTGCGATAAGGTCCCTATAACCAGTGCGCGGTTTAGGGTGTTTAGGGTTTAGG